CATCCTCCTTCTCTGCATCTGCTCCTCTAACATCCTCCTTCTCAGCATCTGCTCCTCTAACAATCCTCCTTCTCAGCATCTGCTCCTCTAACATCCTCCTATCTCAGCAGCATCGGCTCCTCTAACATCCTCCTTCCTCTAGCATCTGCTCCTCTAACATCCTCCTTCTCATGCATCTGCTCCTCTAACATCCTCCTTCTCAGCATCTGCTCCTCTAACCTTCCTAACTCCTCCTTCTCACATCTGCTCCTCTAACATCCTCCTTCTCAGCATCTGCACATCTAACATCCTCCTTCTCAGCATCTGCTCCTCTAACATCCTCCTCCTCAGCATCTGCTCCTCTAACATCCTCCTTCTCAGCATCTGCACATCTAACATCCTCCTCCTCAGCATCTGCTCCTCTAACATCCTCCTCCTCAGCATCTGCTCCTCTAACATCCTCCTTCTCAGCATCTGCTCCTCTAACATCCTCCTCCTCAGCATCTGCTCCTCTAACATCCTCCTTCTCAGCATCTGCTCCTCTAACATCCTCCTTCTCAGCATCTGCTCCTCTAACATCCTCCTCCTCAGCATCTGCTCCTCTAACATCCTCCTCCTCAGCATCTGCTCCTCTAACATCCTCCTTCTCAGCATCTGCTCCTCTAACATCCTCCTTCTCAGCATCTGCTCCTCTAACATCCTCCTTCTCAGCATCTGCTCCTCTAACATCCTCCTCCTCAGCATCTGCTCCTCTAACATCCTCCTCCTCAGCATCTGCTCCTCTAACATCCTCCTTCTCAGCATCTGCTCCTCTAACATCCTCCTCCTCAGCATCTGCTCCTCTAACATCCTCCTTCTCAGCATCTGCACATCTAACATCCTCCTCCTCAGCATCTGCTCCTCTAACATCCTCCTCCTCAGCATCTGCTCCTCTAACATCCTCCTTCTCAGCATCTGCTCCTCTAACATCCTCCTCCTCAGCATCTGCTCCTCTAACATCCTCCTTCTCAGCATCTGCTCCTCTAAACATCCTCCTTCTCAGCATCTGCTCCTCTAAACATCCTCCTCCTCAGCATCTGCTCCTCTAACATCCTCCTCCTCAGCATCTGCTCCTCTAACATCCTCCTCCTCAGCATCTGCTCCTCTAACATCCTCCTTCTCAGCATCTGCCTCCTCTAACATCCTCCTTCTCAGCATCTGCTCCTCTAACATCCTCATCCTCAGCATCTGCTCCTCTAACATCCTCCTCCTCAGCATCTGCTCCTCTAACATCCTCCTTCTCAGCATCTGCTCCTCTAACATCCTCCTTCTCAGCATCTGCTCCTCTAACATCCTCCTCCTCAGCATCTGCTCCTCTAACATCCTCCTTCTCCTCTAACATCCTCCTCCTCAGCATCTGCTCCTCTAACATCCTCCTTCTCAGCATCTGCTCCTCTAACATCCTCCTTCTCAGCATCTGCTCCTCTAACATCCTCCTTCTCAGCATCTGCTCCTCTAACATCCTCCTTCTCAGCATCTGCTCCTCTAACATCCTCCTTCTCAGCATCTGCTCCTCTAACATCCTCCTTCTCAACATCTGCTCCTCTAACATCCTCCTTCTCAGCATCTGCTCCTCTAACATCCTCCTTCTCAGCATCTGCTCCTCTAACATCCTCCTTCTCAGCATCTGCTCCTCTGAAGCAGACCTTAAGCACAGGATCGAGATGACATTGCGCTGGAGTGTACCCTCCTGCCCACAGCATGTACACATGGATCCCAGGTGTGAGGCATTTCTGTGCATCTCCTCGATCTCACCCAGGAGGTGACCAGAAACCCCAGATGTATAGATCCAAGGATGAATCAGCAGCCTGATGTTCTACATGGAGGGAAATAGCTCCTTGTCTTTTCCCAGAATTCAGGGCCTCGAGGTTTGGGGCGTAGTAACAAAGTCGTCAGCCATGTGTAAATGTGGACAGTCCTTTTAGAGTCGAAGGAATTCCCGTGCTTTCTGTTGTTTGAAAAAGGACACGTCCCAACATTTTCAACAGAAAATATACTGGGGGCATGCCTATTTTTGGTGAGTCCAGACCTGCCTATCCAAATCTGTGTTCCAAAGGACTATTATGGTGGACGGGCGGATAGTAGTTCAGGTCGGGGTGGGGTGGGTAGGTTGGGCGATGCAGCGTGTGCAGCAAATCTCAGCTCTGTGTTAGGAGATCTACCCTGGATGAAGGGGGGTTGCCGTGGAGGGAGACTGGAGGTGGGCAAATGGTTTATCTCTCAGGGATGTGTGAATCCAGCACCTCTCTGCGCCTTTACTAGGAAGGAGCACACAGAGAACAAAAGATATGCTCGCCCTTGACTTCCACGCGGTCACAGTCTGGCCACCTTCATTCTATATGCTTCGGGCTAGAGTCAGCAGCCCCAAAGCAGAGCATCAGCACAAGGTGGAGGAGAGGGCTCCTCAGTGAGAACTATGAGAAATAAAACACGACCAGAAGAAAGGCCAAGCGAAGAGCAACACAATATTTGAGAGCTCTGCTCCCCGAGCCTGGAAGGACCTGAGTGGGGGAGTCAGCTGTGCCAGCTCCATGGCACCCCCGTAGCACTCGGGGTACCTGAGGCTGTCTGTCCAAGCTTGCCACCTGACTCCCCCTTAGCGACAGTCTGCGTGCGCGCACATGCGTGCCCGTGCGTCTCCGCACATGCGCGAAGTGTGACGATTCCCCCACACTCTATAAGGGTTTGGGGACAAATGGCAAAAAAGAAAGCAACAGTACCCTGGATGTGACTTGGATTCTTACACACAAGTCACACGGGTCCTATTTTTACGAAGCTTCTTTGTGATTTCAAAGGAAAGGCCCAGCAGTCAACAGCCACAAAACGGCACCCTTCACCCCAGGCCGTGTGCATCCAAGTGACAACAAATCTGTGCACCGACGTGTCGCGGGGCGGAAGGGAGTTCTGCATCAGCCAGTCAGTCCTCAGCCACTGCTAAGCGCCTGCTACGGGCTGAGACTTGAGCCAGGTTCTGGGAATAAGATGTGGCTTCTGCCCCCAAGCAGGGACGTCCCAGACGGACTTCCAGCATGTCACCGGGCACGTCCGTGCTCCCTCCTCTGACACACTAACCTCACATGACCCTTCTAGTGGCAACGGGCCACTTCTAGGCCAAGGTCGTGGGGCGGCAGATACAGTAGCTGAGCTGGTTATAGAGAGGGAGTGAAAACTCAGATTCCAAGTCACGTCCACAGAGTTGCTCAACAATGTCGGCGACTGGCGATCTAAAAAACAAACAAACGTACCCTTAGCATGATCCCCAATTCACATTGTAGGTAAAAACATGACATTTCCTAGTTGATCTCCATGGGCGTTAACCGGGTGCTTTGGGGACGCGGAGAGAAATTCAGTGTAGTGCACCGGGGTTCAGAGGCATTCGCTGGACGCACGTAGGTGCTCTGGACTGATGGGCAGCCAGCCACGAATCAGCCTCGGGTCCGGGATAGAGAGACCCAGGCGTGCTGGTTCTGATACGTCCCTGACTGCCGTCAAGGAGCCTAAGCAGCTGTCCTGGAAAAGGGGCGCTTTGTTACACGGGGAGACCACGCAGAATGAATCCACTCTGAAACAGCTTCACAGAGTGTGTGGCCCACACCCCGTCCAGTGACCTATTGGGACATAGATCACATTCTAGTCAACGTCTCTAGCGAGTATGTTCGTTCTGCCCTCGGGAAGAACTCCGAAGGCATGCTATGGTTTCTGGAACAGGATTCCCGCCCCCAAGACCAGTGCCAGCAGCAGGGACAGAGTCCCTCTCCCCCCGCCCCGAAAACAGCCTCCGCACAATTTCTAGGAGAGCCATTGTCTTGTAGATCCTTTTCGGTTCCACTCGTGACAGATATGGAGAGGGAGGGAGTGGGAGAGAGAGGAGAGACTTCTCTATAAAGTCCCCTGTGTCTCGGACAATCAGTGTGCAGGGCTCTTTGAAATGGAGACAGACCTGTGCCATCAGCATGAGGAGACACTTGGGAGGAGGCGAGGCGGGGACCAGCTGGCGTGTGTCCGCCCTGGAACTTCCAAAGGGGTGGGCGACCCAGTCTGGCCTGTGGTCACTTAGAGGCACCTGGCATGGCCAGATCTCCAAGAATGCCCCAAGTCCCAATTTTTGTGTGAAAGCCGATTTTTAAGTAGTGGCTGAAGAAGTCAAATCACAACAACAGTCATCCACACAGGATCATTTCTGGACAGACACTCTCTCCCTCCATGTAACTGGATAGGAATTCAGGGAGACTGCTACATAGTTACAACGACCCTCTTCTCTGCGCAGCCGGGGGCAAACTCAAGGAGGTCTGCCAGCGTCCCAATGGCTCCTGCCGGGAGTACTGCATCCAAACGGAAATCCACGCTGGCTGGTGTTTAAATGGCTGGTTCTGCTGCCTGCCCTTGGGGCATCAGCCTCAGGTGGACCCTACGACACCAATGTGGACGGAGGCCAACTGAAGATGGGTCTGCTCGGGTGTTTCCCTCTCTCACTCCCACTCTCTCCTGCTCTGTCTCGTCTTTCACAGCGATCCTTGCGGAGCGCTCAATAAATCCTAAAGCAGGACTCACAAGCGCAAGCCTCCTCCATGCACGCGACATGCACGTGTTCCGCCGCCGTCTGGTCTGAGTCAGCTCCGGGCGGAGCTCTGGGCTGCATGGGACACTTGCCACCCCCACGTGTGTGCGCAGCCCTGGCACCCTCCAGCCTCCGGCGGGGGCACTTCTCCGCTGGGAACACGCGCTGCCCGGTTCGCGCAGCCTGGTGGGGCTCCGTCGCTGCCCACGGGCGCAGGGAAGCCGCAGCCAGACCTCCCACGTCAGCGAGGCATCACCAGAAAGCTCGTCACGGCCAGGGCCACGCCGGAGAAAAGAGGGGTGCACACCCTTGTCAAAGGCAGCGCTCGGGGCCTGTCCATGTGCCCCTGGCCGAGACCCACGGAATGCCTCTGGTTCCCGCCTTTCCCGGGCAGGGCCTGGGTTTTCCCTTCCAGCCGGAGACCATGGCCTCAGCCTCCTCTGCCTGCCCCAAGGAGTCTCCGCGGCCGCGGCGGCCTGGAGCCATGTGGTCGCTGGCAGGTGCAGGGAGGAAGTGTGACAGGCATCGCAGAGGGCTGATCTCCAGCTCCGCCGCCAGGGCTGCGGTCCTGCGGGAGGCTGTCCCCCTCCTCCGTGTCCTGACATTAGTGGGGTGGCTCCCTTCATCACCAGCGACCAGGCCTCCTACACCCCCACACTCTCCTGCCTCCCTCTCCCCCTTTTTGAACCCGAGTGATGCCCTTGGGCCCATCCGGGTAAACCAGGGCCGTCTCTCTATTCTAAGGTGCTACATTAGCAGCTTTAATTCCACCTTCAACCGCATTGCCCTTTGCCACCTCAGGTGACGTGGTCCCCGGTCCCAGGGGAGAACGTGGCCACCTCTGGCTGAGGAGACGTGACATTATTTTACCTGCAACAGCCTCTGAATGTTTCACCGCACGTCACCCTCTGTTCCACCTGGAGATGATTTCAGTTACTTCGTGTAAAGAAACTGTCATCCTCAGAGTCTTCTTTTGGGTGGAAAGTCGCAGAGGCCTCCTGTGGTCACTGGACGAGTATAGAACAAACCAATGTGTGTGTGTGTGCAGAAGTGAGTCCTCTTCTAGCTGAAAGTGCGTGTCCCCCGTCACCGTGGGTTCCACTGCTGCACATCCTCCATGTGCGCGCACACGGTATTTGTCCTTCTGGGTGGGGCTTATTTCGAGTAGTACAATGTCCTCCAGGTTTATCCATGTTGTCGCAAATGAAGGATTGCCTTCTTTTTTTCAAGGCTGAACAACATTCACATATGACATTATATATCATGCATAATGCACTTGTACGTAAGTGCTGAATAGCTCTATGTTTTGAGAAATCTCCCTCCTGTTTTCCATGACGGTTGTATCAGTTTACGTTCCCACCAACGGTGCACACGGCCCCTTTCCTCCGCATCTCCACCACACGTGTCCCCGCCCGTCTTTTCGATGACAGCAGGTGAGAGGTGAGCTCTCTCCGTGGCTTCGATGTGCATTTCCCTGGCGAACAGTGATGCTGAGCACCTTTCCAAATACTGGTCGGCCAGCTTACAGCTTTTTTTTTTTTCCCCAAAAAAATATCTATTCAGGACCTTTACCCAATTTTTGTATCCTTATATATTTATTGCAAAATGCTTACCATAGAAAGGTTCTCTGACACACCATCACTTTCCGTTAGTGTGTGTGTGTGTGTGTGTGTGTGTGTGGTAAGAACACTTACGATCAGCTCTGAACAACTTTCAAGTACACTGTTGTCATCTATAAACACCACACTGGAAAGTGCATCCCTAGAATGTATTCATCGTCTAACTGGAAGTGTGTACCCTCTGACTACCTTGACCTATTCAGCCGCCACCCCCCATACACAGACACACACAGCGGGGACCAATCTACTGGTTATTTCCATGTTGGGGTTTTTTTGTTTTTGTTTTTTTTAGATTCCACATATAAGTAAGATCATATGGTATTTGTCTTTGTCTGTCTGACTTATCTCACTTAGCATAATGTCTTCAAGGTTCATCCATGTTACAAATGGCATGATTTCTTTCTTTTTCATGGCTGAATAATATCCCACTATATATATATTTGCTTTATTCATTTATCCATCAATGAACACAGGTTATTTCCATGTCTTGACTATTGTAAATAATGCTTCAATGAACATGGGTATGCAGATATATCTTTGGGATACTGATTTTATTTCCCTTGTAGATATACCAGTGGAATTGTTGGATTATAGTTCTACTTTTTTAAAATCCTAACTCAAGGATTGTTTTTATTTATCCTTAGATAGAGTAGGAGGGAGAGAGAGGGAGAGAAAGGGAAAGAGAGAAAAACATCGATATGAGAGGGACACATCAACAGGTTGCCTCCTGCACAGCCAGAGCCAGGGATGAACAACCGAGGTACGTGCCCTTGACCAGATTCGAACCCGCGACTAATCTGCTGGCCGACGCTCTACTGCTGAGCCAACCTGCCAGGGCTATAGTTCTAGTTTTAATTTTTGGAGGAACCTCCATACTGTTTTCCATAGTGGCTGTACCATTTTTAAAAATGTGTGTTCAGGTCCTCTTCCCATTTTTAAATTATTTATTGTTTTGTTATTGAGTTGGATGAATTCCTTATATGCCCTACACACATTAGATGGATAAACAAGCACTATTAGGCATAATTTTCTATCCATAGATTCAACAACTTCGATGAAAATGGGCAAATTCTTTGAAAGAAAGAAATAGATAAGAAAGAAGAAAGCACCAACCATAGGGACAGAAGACACGTGGGGGTCAGGGGCTGGGGACAGGAGACGGGCACAGAAGGACGTGAGGGGAATCTGGGAAGTAAGCACTGCTCTAGGTATTCACTGTGGTGTGGTTTGCACAACCCCATGCACTTTCCAACACTCACAGAAATGTACACTCGGTTTTAATGACCGAGACCGTGTGTGAAGTACAGGTCAATGAATCCGACTTAACAAAACAAGGATCAGCTCCATGCTCGGTCCCCCTGGCTGCTCCCATTCTCTGCCTTGGCGCCAACAGCCCATGGCTCCTTCTCATCGGCCTTGAATGTGTGATGAGCTCTTGTACGAGACTGTGCTGCACGTGTTACCCTAGGGGTGTTACGCGACGTGAAATAAGTCCGACGGAGCAGATACCTGTGATTTCCCTGACATGTGGACTCAGAAAACAAACAAGTGAACAAGCAAAACAGAAACAGGCCCCTAGAACCAGAACAAACCGACGGCCTCCGGACTGGAGAAGATTTGGGGGCTGGGTGGGAAAGGCGAAGGGTTGGGAAGGAGAGATTGTTATCGTTAGAAAACAATCGTGGGAATGGAGAAGGACTGCCCAGGGACAGTCAATGAAAGTGTGATAACTATGGCAGGTGCCAGGTGAGCGCTCGACCGGTCCGGAGAATCGCTCTGTAAGTTATATGAACGCCTAGTCCCTAGACTGCACACCTGGAACCAAGAGTTGTGCGCGTCACCTGTAACTGAATGTCCTTTAGGAAAGAAAATAATTTGCTAACCCCCCTCCCAGAACAAAGCCTTCCGGAAGAAGCCTAGCTTCCACCCCCATAACGTCCCTGTACCTTTGAGGCCGGAGGAGGTCCGGTCGCACAGAGAAGCCCACATGCCCTCTGTCTCAGCCCCAAGTATAGAGCAATGTGCACTGAGGCAGAAAAGCCCTCTGCCCGGCCCTGCTCCTGCCCCATCGCATAACCCCAGCTTTGCCCGGGTTTATTCGAAGTCCACTGGGGCCTGATGACCCTAAAGCCAAACCTAAGGCCTAAGAATTGTCCACATAGCTAGAGAAAAAGAAAGAAACCCTAGCCTGGCTGGTGCGGCTCAGTGGTTGAGCGTCGACCCTGCACCAAGAGGTCGCTGGGTCGATTCCTGATCAGGGCCCAGGCCCAGGCTGTGGGCCCGATCCCCAGTGGGGGCGTGCAGGAGGCGGCCAATCAGTGTTCTCTCTCATCGATGTTTCTGTTTCTCTCTCCCTCTCCCTTCCTCTCTCTCTAAAATCAATAAATGGAAAAACAAAATAAAAACAAGAGGAAAGAAAGAAAGACTCCGTGCACGCGGATTTAGATGCTGTGCACCAGAGTTCTCAGGTGCAGATGCTTTTCCCCGCAGCACACAATTGGCAAAGTCTCGATCTCCGCTGGCTGGTCGCTGGTCACCAGGACCTGGTCACATGGTCTTCTCATAGGCTGCTAGAACATGGCAGCTGGCTTTACCCAGAGCCAGAGGGCACGAGAGGGTTCCCAAGACGGACAACAGTCTTCCTGTAGGCCAGTCTGAGAAGTGGCATCCCGTCCCACCTGCTGGGTACACGGGTTAGTCCAGCCCGGCCCCGCGGAAGGAGCTCACACACGGGTGTGATCACAAGGAAGCAGAGAACGCGGGAGGCCAGCCGGCCGCTGACGGCTCCAGCATCCCGCAGAGCCGATTCTTACCCAGAGACGGCAATTCGGGTGAAGACAGAGTACAATTCTGATGGTGACTATTCTGCGACGACCGCACAAGAGACCTCTGCTGGGAAAAGGTTTTAAAACGTACAGCTGTGGTTACATTTCGGCAGTGGAACTCCGAGAACTTAATTTTTCTTTCTATGTCTTCTACATTTTCTGTACTGCGCCAGGTTTTAATACAAATATATACATTGATAAAAATGATAAAAATGTATTTCAAAAGGCCGCAAAGTCTACAGAGAGGCTGAAAAGGGCTTTCGACGTAACAGTGTTGCTGGACGGATACACTAGAAACTGTTCTGCAGCGAGTCCTGGGCCATCCTTTCTACGAAGCCTCTCCTGACAGTGTCGCCACCCCTGACCCACCGCGACCCCTCGGTAGGAAGAACCGCAGTCTCCTTGGGGCTGGCGTGTCCTCACATCCACTTAACTTGTTGTCTCCCATTGTCCGACTCGATCTAGCTGGTGTAACCTTGTTTTTCAACACCACCCCGCACAGAATAAGTCACAAAGTGTGGCCAGTGGTCACACACCCAGGTGCCTAAGGAAAACAGGAGAGAACGCAGCTGACAGGGAGGCCACTGGACCCCTGGGAAGTGGGCACGTTGACTGCGACTTTCTTGTCCATCAGGTCCTGGCACAGTGTGTGGCTTTGTGCCTGGAGGTTTCCCGTGGGAGATGGAGTCGTCCTCCTTGTCAGGCTCTGCTGACCAAGAGCAACCGCAGGCCCCAGGAGCTTCATAAAAAGCTGGGGGCCTGCCGTGCTCAGAGGCGCTGGGCTCCGACCATTCTGATGCCTCTTCTCTTCCCTGGCCGGCCAACCATGAGGTGCCGTGTGCTTCTCTCCACTCTCCTCCTCCTGACGCTCCTACCCCCAGGTAAGGTGTTGGCTGATCTTTGGGGTCTGCATTCAGGAGGCTACTCGGCAGGTCAGGCAAGACCTTGGCTTCAGTCTACTGGATCCATAGACCTGACATCAACAGCCCCACGAGGGCTGTCACAGAGTAAAATTGGAAGGCGACCACTCTCTCTCTCGACCAAGTTGCCTGATGA